GCACTGGCAGCAGAGGCTGTTCCAGGAGGGGGACATGGGGCTGATCCAGCCTCAGGTGTGCCCCACACGTGATGGGCCAGCTCCCTGCCCTGAGGCTGCTGCGCTTGCCCATATGGGAGCAAAATCAGCAGCGCTTCCTCGCTTCTCCTCTGTGCCGGGGGTTGGCCAGAGTGCTCAACACTTCCTCCTTTCTGAAGGTAGTTTTGTCCCTAACCGAGGGAACGGGAAGGCTGGCAGGTTTCTTTTCCAAATCCCTTTCCTGTGGGGAGCCTCCCCCTGCCCCAGCAGGAGCTTGCCATGACCAGAGAGAGGTTTGCCAGGCAGGGGGACATGCTGCTGGGCAGGAGGCTGTGCTGCTGGCCAGGAGGCGGCTGCCCAGCCCCACATGGCAGTGGTCCAGTGCTGCCAGCTCTGGTCTTTGCATGGGGGCCTTCTCTCCTCCTTCCTCTCCCACCCCTGAAATCAGCCCCATGAGGAGCTGGTGCTCTCAGCCGCTCCCCAGCTAATCCGTTTCTCAGATTATACACTAGAAGCTGGAATTAATTTTTACAGTGGGACTCTCACTGCTTACTCCAGCAGCAGGTTTTCTTTCCTGTGGGTAGAACATGGGTTCCCCCTTCTCTTTTCCTCCCTCAAAAATTTTTTTCTTTATGGATGGAGAGTATGCTCCCTATGACAGCCTCCTTACAGCTCCTGATCCCTCAGGCAGTCCCCAGCCTGGGACACAGGTCAATGGTGTTGTGACTATTTTTTTAAAAGGACCACACAAGAAGGTTTTGTGAATTGGGAAAAACACAGACGTTTCGGTATCAATAAAGAGTTCTTCAAAAGAGTCGGCTCCCGCAGCAGAACATGGGCAGGCCAGGGGGCCAGGGCTCTTGCGCAGGAGCCTGGGGAGGGGGCTTCTTTCCACCTGCTCCCAGCAGGTTGGGAGAGACCCTTTGCAAACAAGAGGAGGTGGGAAGTCTGCAGGCGGGGATGTCTGCCTGCACCCCAGAAGCACCCCCAGGCAATAAAGAGGGCTTGTCGCACTGTAGCTGCCTGAAATCTTTATTGAATAAAAGCTCTGGGTACAGAGGAATTTCCCAGCCTGGCTGCCAGTCCCAGCCCTCCGGTCCTGCTGAGAGCAGGATACGTTGCTGAGGAGGAGCCTTGGGGCCTCTGCAGCAGACAGAGCCTCACGGCACCTGGCCACCCCAATGGTGGACGGGCTGGGAGGAAGGCTGTTGTGTTGGCGAGGTGAGAAGTGAGGAGATTGTTTTCTGCCTTCCTGAGGGCTGTTTCATGGGCTGTCTCGAGGGCTCGTCCTGAGCCCAGCTCCCCCCATGCTTGCGGTGTTCCCCGTGGCCCTCAGAAGGGCAAAACGCCTTTGCAGGCTGCTAGTTTGCATGTCAGTTCAGTAATTTGCTCTGTAAAATGACCTCTACCTCCTGCCGGGCTGAAGTTTCGCTATCCCAGCCTGTGGGAAGGATTTGTGCGTGGCGATGGGTGCCCGGATACACAGCCATAGGGCAGCGCTGTCTCTACTGGTCCCCAGTCCCTGACAGACACCTTGGGTGCTTGTTACTCTGTTTCAGCCATCCTGCAGCTGAAGCCACAACTGTGCCCTGCGCTTTCACTGGCCAAGCTGCCTTTGTGGCAGGAGAGGCAGTGCAGTGCCTGCTACAGCCTCCCAGGCGAGTGGGGACTCTGCCCTCCTCACCAGGAACATGCCAGCTCCTGTCCTGCCTGCTCCAAAGCGGCTCTGGGTGGTAAGGGAAGGGAAAAGGAGCAGGAATCCTGAGTGAACCCTTCAGTTCCCAGGACTGAGCACCAAGCTGCTGTGGGGACCAGCAGCGTTACCTGTGCTGGGAAACGTCCCCACTAAAGCAGGCACAAGATGAGCAGCTCCTGCCTGCTCAGTGTCATGCACACCGTAGCTGCTCCCCAGGGACGAACACTACGGACAATCCACGACTAACGGGAGACAAGTAGGTAGAAATCTAGTTCTCTGTGACCCTCACAGAGAGACCCTCTGTGAGCAGAGGACCCTCATGGGGGTCTGCAGGGGGAAGCCCCAGCCTCTCCAGCTCGTGCAGAGAAAGTTCAGATCTGCACCGGGCCCTCAGTGCTGGCTCCGCTTGCGGTATAGGTAAGCATTGCTCACCTGGTTCATGATAACCAGGCTGGTGAGAAGGGGACACAGCATGGCGAGGTACCAGGCAACGCTGGTCACCAAGGCGGTGAACCAAAGGGAGCACATGCCAAGCATCAGGCTGGCACAGCCCAGCAGGTAGCCCACCAGCCCTGAGGTCGCGTGGTACAGCTTGAGCTTGGCCAGCGTCCAGTTCTTCATCAGCTTGGGGTAAAGCAGGAGCACCCCTCCCACGCACTGCCCACCAGCGTACATGACAGTCAGCAGCCCCGTCAGACCATGCCAGGTCACGAAGTGGGCCTTGCCGTTCAGGTGCTTGTTGTAGGTGATGATGCCCAGCCCCAGGAGAGCGCAGAGGAGGGCAAGCAGCTGGAGGGCCCAGTGCACCCGCACTTTAACTTTGCGGGAGAAGGCGCGGAGCACCGACGTCTCCGGGGAGAATATCAACAGGGCTTCCGTCATCAGGAACGAAAACTGGGAGAGAGAGGGCAGGGGGGCTGGCACCTGAGGCTGAACAGGCAGTAGATCCACATCTCCCGGGGCTCAGCCTCCCGCCTCCC